CGGTCAATTCATTAATGTTGACCCCATTTGTATTAGAAACTGAATGGGTTATGGGTAGAAATCAATCTAGCCCATCAAAATTTGTAAAACACAAAATCGTATATTGGACCACGATGGGCTGTAATATGGTACGTATGGATCAGGCAGAACCCAGTTAGGCCTGGATTAGAAAACTGATCCGAATTAGACTTTTTTTAAACAATTTGGGCCAGTGATGAACATCCTCCTAAAGCTTTGTCCTCCAGCATTAGTAAAAGAATGTGATTTGTATATTCAGAGAGAGCGACCTTTGTAGCCTGAGTTGAGCTATGGTGTTCATACTGGTGTCATTTTTGTAGGCTTGAAAAGACATTGATAGAAAGTACCGGGTTGGCAAAATAAATAGGGCCCACATACACATGGCTAGATGTAGACATGAGAGAATGCATTCAGACCTATATCAGTTGTCTAAAAAACTTGCTTTGACATGTTAGTTTTGATTTGTGTTAACATCTGATGGGTGCCTCTAAAAAGTGATAGTAAATGCATTCAGACCTATATCAGATGATTTAATGATTAAAACAATTAAAATACACTCTTTTTTTTAATTAATGAGGTTTATAAAGTAAATTTATTGTTCTTAGATATCAAATCTATAAAAATCTTTTTTTTTTCAAATATCAGACTTACATTTTATTAATTACTAACTTAAAATTATTTTTTCCAGTTTTGTTTTTTTTTCTTGGGAATCTAAACTCAATGGATTATAAATTCTAATTTGCTTCAACAATTGAGGAACGAACAAGGTTTAGCTAAATGCTTTGGTTGTTCAGAGGCTGTGGAATCAATGATAAGGTTCCACACCAGTAATAAAATACATAGGGCCCGCTTTCACAGTAAGGCCTATGAATTTATTATGACGCGGAACCTCATCATTGATTCCACAATCTACTGAACAACCAAAGCATTCAGCTAATCCAAATTCTTGATGAACAACCATAGAAGAAAGATTCTACTTGAAATAAATTACATTGGTATCTTTACATGAAACCAATCTCAACCATTGCAAGGTGCCAGCCGGTTGGCTGGTAGGTCTCCGGCTAGTTGTAGTAGAAACTTGAGATCAAATCCCGCTTGCTTGGACTAAGGTTGGGGGGTTATGGGTTTGGGGGATGGGCTATCCTCGTTGTATAGTCATATTGGACAAAAAAAGAAGAAAAGAACAGAAAAGAAAATCCCAACCACCAATCAAGACTAGCCATTATTTTTCCTTTTGCATGGGTTTTAACTGGATTAAAAATTCAAACATGCATCAAATGATGTATACGATGATTTCATCATAAGAGCCCAATTGGATTTCCAATTTAGATATTTCAAAAATTTTAGTACTATTTATGTAGTGTTGGTCAAGTGAGTAAAGTGTAGAATGTTAGATCTTTCAAAAATTTTCCTACTAGTGCATGGTAATTAATTTTTTTTTTCAATCTCTTAGGGTGATTAACTATTCTAAATGGTCACTCCTTGGATGACCCATGGCCCAACCCACACAATCCATTAAATGTGGATCATCAACCAAGTTGATCGATATGTATGAATTTGTTAGTCATTTACTAACAAGTCCCCTATAGTTTCACATGATTACTTAGACCTACCCTATAGTTTGCATTTTACTAAGACACTCTCTCTACTTCGCATTTGCTTTATTTATTATTAATTTATTATTGATTATCTATAGATGGAAATGTAAAATGGCATGTTTTACCCTAAGGAGGTGTTCTTTTTTTGGATTTGGAGAGGGGGGAAAGTTGGTCAATGGGATTTTGGTTCCCATTGACCAAGAATCTCATGTTTTTTTTTTCAGCTTCATGTGGGGAACAGGGAAAGTTTATTTTCCTAGGTACCACTTACCCAGGAAAGTGATACCCATCTCTTAGGTGGGTAAATAACTTTCCCATATAGGAGAAAAGTTGCTAACACTTGAATGGGGCAAAAGTGCCCCTTTTAATAAAGAATTTCTATGGCTAAAATGGTCATTGCCTTATTTACCTGAGAAATAAAAGAACATGGATAAGTGCACTTACCTAGGTAAGTGTTTCCCAGGAAAAACTTACCCAGGTAAGTAATTTATTGAAAAGCCAATGGGGCCTAAGTGTCTATTTAAAATGTAAAATGAAATGTTGATTTGAAAAATAGGGAGTAAAAATATAAATAAAATAAACAAGATAATAGGGAGTAAAAATATAAATATAAATAAATGAAACTTTTATGGGTATTTTCGGAATACTGATCTCAATATATGATAAAATGCACAAGTGACAATCTTCTATAAATCTTCTATATACATCCTATATTCTGAAAATGAAGATACATTTAATGATATCTTTTAGAGATTCATGTTCTTAGAAATTCTCAACATACCTTGGGCTGACAATCAATTAAAGACATGTATTTTCTTTGGTGAATATACATTAATAGAAAACAGATTTATATGAAAAACCTCTCAATGTGGGGATAAAATTAATGACACTGACAAATATCTTTCACTATTAACAAGAATAATAGGGTATAATAATCTAAATTAAGAATTCTTGTCATCTCCTTTACAACCCTTGTAATGTCTTCTTCTTTTGGAAAACTCCTTTTTTCTTTCTCTAGAACCCTTTAAAGAGCAAGAGAGAAATAAGAGACAAAACCTCAATATACTTTGAGCGACTCTGACAAGATAAGGTTCTTTTTTGCTTTCCTTTTTTATCCTTATTCGTGTGGGCCCTACCACATAAGGAGGGAACCTCAAAGTATTTGTGATAAGATCTTTATGATGGTGATAAGTTGCCATTAATAAAAAATGAAGAGAATCGCATGGTTCAAGGTGAGAAATTAAACGCACCAATATTTTTACATGATTGATAAATTTGGGAAAAATCAAAAGATATTTATGAATGAATGTTCTTAATCTATGAAAAAATGAATAAGGGATAAATTTTTTTATGGTCATTAATACTTTGAAAATTATGATAATTTAATTGACCTTTTTAGTGCTTCAAGTTATTAGAAATTCTCAACATATATACTTTTCAGGTTAACGACCAATTAGGCATAATGGAAACTATGTATTATGTGTGCAAAAAGGCATCCCATTTGTACTAAGACTTCTTTTTGTTATTGATGAATTAACAAAAAAAAAATGAAGAATCATATTATCAAAGATGAGCAAAAGCACTTTTCTTTACATGATTGATAAATTTGAGAAAGAAACTTAAGACTGCTAATCTCTTTGGGATATAAAAAAAAAATGAGACAATCTTTGATATTCATCATATGCTTTGAAAAGAAATATAATTTAATGTTTTCTTTTAGGGTTTCGAGTTTTTAGAAATTCTCAACATACCTTGAGTTACCAACCAAGTAAACTAGACATGTTGGAAATTATATATTAATTAAAGATATTCATTTATGCTAAGGCATTTATGATATTGATGAGTTGCCATAAGAAATTGAAGGATCATATGGTTGAAGGTTACAAGGTTGATAAATTTGAGAAAGAGATTTATGATTTCCAGTGCCCATTTGGGAGGACAATCGTGTTGTTGCTTTTGGTTTCATGAGGTGCACAAAGAGCCTTTAATTATTATTATTATTATTATTATTATATTAAAGCTTGAAGAGCCAAATGCACATTTGGACGATTTGGAGTATTGTACCTCCAAGTAGATTCTTTAAAGCAACTGAAATGAAAGTCAACCCTCCCAAACAAGCCACTAGTCTCTAAGTTATGAAAGGATATTGAGCAAGATTTCGAGATACTCTTGGTCAATGACAAAATCGATGAGACAAATTCTAATAATGTTGATCAAATTCTTAGAAAAGAAGATATACATGTAATGCTGCTATCTTCCTAGAGCTTCAAGTTCTTAGGAATTCTCAACACATCTTGGGCTATGAGCCAATTAAACATGTACATGATTTGGATTCAATCCAATGAATCTCACATAATTAGTCTAGCTGCTTATTATCAAATCAAATCTGGATCCATGTCAATTCAATTTGATTACACAACAAAGTGGGAAAAATATATACATAGAATTTTTGCATATTCATTCAACAATGAAGTATGATAAGACTGATGAGTGGAAGAATTAGAAAGAATTAGAAATAGCTTCAATAGGTCATAAAATGAGAGAAAGAATGCTAAAATGGTTTAATCATGTAATAGTAATGGGAGATGTTTGTAAATGGGATGCGATTCATCGGTTAGTTACATCAGGGACACATGGGCATGACTCGACATAGGTGACAACTTGGCATAGTCAGCTTGCTACAAAGTAATGTTCCACTACTCTGAGCTAGGGATTCTTCGAACTGAAATCATCCCGAGCTAAAGGCACTTTGGTACTCATCCCGAGCTATGGGCACCTCGGTACCAGGTCGCAGCTTCAGTACATAATCCAGTTTGGGGTGTACGACACTTAGCTCGAGAACATCGACTCGAAGTAGAAACCAGCTCGGGTATACCGATCTACCCTCGATATGATCCCGAAAGTCACTCTAACGGTTCCCAATTTCTGCGGGATCACGTCTCGCAACAACTAAGCATTATCTCCCCGTCCGATTCGGGCAAAAGCGATTAGCCTTATCAATTGAAGCGCTATCTCCATATAATACGGAAACAGACCTTATCACGGAAAAGATCACGGAACTACTCTGTAAAGCCCGCGAGGACTCCAGTATATAAAGACCCCAACCCTTTGGGGGCAAAGGTACGCGCATTTTTACTGCTACTAGCTCTCTTGCTCTTTGATTATTATCAGCTCGCATAAACTGACTTAAGCATCGGAGCGACCTCGCCGGGTAAGCACCCCCGGGTTCTCTGATTTTCTGTGCAGATTCTCCACGTCCGTTGTCTATTGGAAGCTAAGCCACCGCCAGCTAGGAGCAGCCAGATTGTGCAGCATCAATTGGCGCCGTTTGTGGGAAACGCTTCAAAAAGCCCTTTTCCACAAAGCATTTCATATCCAGTTTCCATGGCATCTTCCGGCAACGCCGGACGCAGCACTGACTTGAACGTCTTCGGGGGCCAACTCCAGGTACCTACCGTGTGCATTGGACAATTCACCATACCCCTCTCTGTAGACGGGGTCCCCACACTGAATGTGCCTCAAGTCATTGCACCGGTGAGCGCACCACTCCCTTTTGCAATAGGTATGACCTTCGCAAAGCCTTCTGGCATTCCCCCGGTAACCGGACTGAATCAACTCGATGACCCGGTGCACTGCATGCGGGCCATGCAGGCCCAAATGCAGCAGGTCCAACAACTTCAGTTGTACCAGCAGCAAGTCCTCCACCATGTCTATCAGCAGCAGTACCAGCAACAGTTCCCCCCGCTGCCGCAGAATCAACAGCCTGTTCCACCTCAGCATCCGGCTGCGCAACAAACCAAGCCTCGTCGCCGTAGTGAACGCCCTCCTCGCCGTGGAGAGACCTCCCAAGTTCAAAACCGTGGCAGGAGGGAGAGACAAATTACTCCTCCCACCTTACAGCAAGTAGGTAGGTCGGGAGGCACCCAGCCCTCCAGGCCCCCTTCACCTCAACCTTCGCAGTTCGAAATTCGACTCGCGGAGAACCGGTTTGGGGCTCTGGTCGCAGACTCTCGACAAGGCCCTTCAGTTCACAGTAGGTTCCGTCAGCAGTTCGAACAGTTGCCAGTGAGAATAGTACCTGACAATACTGAGGTTAGCAGCACTAACGCGGAGCCAGTAAAAAAGCAGCAAAGGCGACGCCGTAGAGCTCGTCGAGCAACAGTCTAGAACTCCCCCGAACTGCCTAAGGGAAAAGAAGTGGCAAGCTCGGAAACCGTGAAGATTACTCCACTCCTTACTGTGTCGTCTCCCCTATCTCCCGAACTCTTGGTCACTTCAATGCCAAAGGATTTCAAGGTACCTCCCTTAGACAAGTATGATGGGTCATTCGATCCGAACGACCATGTAGATTCATTTCAATCTCAAATGCACCTGGCTAGAGTCGATGGATCCTGCATGTGCGTTGCTTTCTCCACAACTTTTAAGGGGATAGCTCGCACATGGTATAGAAACCTTGTGCTTGGGACGATCAAGAGATGAGCGCAGTTCGTACAGATCTTTACCTCGCACTTCATCACTAGTAAGAGGTACCCGAGGTCCCAGGAAAGCCTCCTCGGTATAGTCCAAAGAGAGGGAGAATCCATATGGAGTTACATCAAGCGTTTCAACGACGCGTGCTTGCAGATTCCCGATCTAGACCCCGCTATGAGACTTACAACTGTAAAGAGAGGAATCACCCACAAAGAATTCAATTGGTACGTGGTTGCTAACAAACCAAAAGATGTTACAAAGTTTCTCAAGCTCGTTGACCAATTCATCAGAATAGAGGAAGAGATGAACTAGAAGAGCGAGAATCAACTAGAGAAGAGGAAAAGAGAAGGTGATACCTCAACTAACGGAGACAACAAGAGAAAGAAAGATGAACCAGTATGAGGAGGAAAACTGGATCAGCATTCCCGAGCTCCTCAAGCTGAAAGGAGTTATACCCCCTTGAACACGAAGCGAGTAAAAATTCTCTTAGCGATCAAGGACGCATCTTACGTGAAGTGGCCACCTCGGATGAGAGGAGACCCAAACACGAGGAACATAAATGTATACTACCACTTTCACAGAGATTACGGCCATAGCACCGAGAATTGTAAAAACCTCCGCGACGAGATAAAAGAACTCATCCGTTGCGGGTATCTAAAAAATTTTGTACTAAATGATAATAAAAATCAAATAGGTCGGTAGGGAGAGCAAAATAGAGATGTTCTCGAGTCCAGTAATAAGCAGATCGAGCAGCCGCAGAGATAGCTGCCCGAGGAGAGGTCAGTTCGTGGAATAATACATATGATCACCTGCGGATCGATTGTCAGGGGCTGCACCTCAGCTGCAGCGAAGACATCAGCTCGCGAGATCGAAAGAGAAGAGCAAAATCCTCCGAAGCGGCCGAGGTTAGAACCCATTTTCTTCACCGAAAATGATGCACACGGAGTCCATTACCCCTATGATGACGCGCTCGTCATAAAGATGAGAAATAATGATTTCGAGGGGAAGCGAGTCTTAGTCAAATCCGGCAGCTCGACAGACATCCTCTTCAAAGATGCATTCGACAAGCTGCAGCTTCAGGAGAGAGACATCAAGCCCGCGAACACTCCCTTGGTAGGCTTCAGTAGAGAGGAAGTCAGGCCCCTGGGAAGAGTCATAGTACTTGTGGAGGTCGGTACCTGGCCTAGCATAGTGAGATTTGACCACACTTTTCTAGTGGTCGCAACTCCCTCCCCGTACAACGCCATAATAGGTTGGCCTATCACCCACGCTCTATGCGCAGTGGTGTCAACCTATTACTTGGCCATAAAGTTCCCCACGGATTTCGGAGTTGGGGTAGCGTGAGGTGACAAGCTCGAGTCTCGCAAATGCTACGTCACCACCCTTAAAGGAAAATCCAAGGCAGTAGATGACCTTGAGTTGGAACAACCTACGGAGTACCACGAGGAGCGAGCTTCACCCATAGAAGAGACGACCTCTATACCCGTTTCAGTGGAAGATCCCGCCAAGACTCTCTAGATCGGCGCTTCGATTGAGGAGCCTATGCGATCTCAATTGTTAGGCCCTTTAGACAGAAGAAACGCAACTTAGCCCCAGAGCGCTGGAGAATAGTTGACGAGGAGGTCGGGAAACTCTTTGCAGCCGATTTCATTAGGGAGGTCCATTACCTGAGCTGGGTGGCTAGACCTGTTCTGGTAAAAGATGCCAACGGTAAGTGGCGCATGTGCGTCGACTATACCGACCTGAATTGAGCTTGTCCAAAGGACTGCTTCCCACTTCCAAAGATCAACCGTTTGGTGGACGCGACCTCAGGGCACGAGTTGCTGAGCTTCCTGGATGCTTATTCGGGCTACAACCAGATTAGAATGGACCCTGCCAATGAGGAAAAAATGGCCTTTATAACCGAGCTAGGCATGTACTGTTACAAGGTCATGCCCTTCAGACTGAAAAATGTCGGGGCAACTTTTCAAAGACTTGTAAACCGATTGTTTGAGCCATTGATCGGCAAAAAAGTAGTGTTATGTAGACGACATGGTCGTCAAAACTCAGTTTTCAAATGATTTAATAAAAGATTTATCTTGTGTTTTTCAAATTTTGCGTAAATATAATATGAAATTGAATCTCGATAAGTGTGCCTTCGGTGTCACTTTGGGTAAGTTCCTGCATTACATCGTTAACTGACGCAGAATCGAGGCCAACCCTAAGAAAATTAAGGCAATCCTAGACATGAGACCGCCCCATAAATTGAAAGAGGTTTAGAGGTTGATCGGTCAGATAGCCATTCTGAGCCGTTTCATGTCTAAATCGGCAGATCGCTGCTTGCCTTTCTTCAAGGAAATCAAAAGAAGCAAAGATTTCGAATGGACCGAAGAGTGCCAGCTCGCTTTTGACGAACTCGAAAGGTACCTCGCCAGCATCCCGGTTTTAACCTGACCCGAGGAGGGAGGTATCTTGAAATTGTACCTCTCCGCGAGTGATGAGGTAGTCAGCTCGGTACTAATAAAAGAAGTAGATCGGGTTCAAAGACCCACCTACTATGTTAGCAAAGTTTTGCAGGACGTAGAAACGAGGTACCTAGAGATGGAAAAGTTAGCGTATGCACTAGTCATTGCAACTCGGAAGCTTAGGTCATATTTCCAGGCTCATACCATCGTTGTCTTCACCAACGAACCTCTGAAGCAAGTCTTTCTCAAGCTAGAGGTTTCCGGTAGATTAACGAAGTGGGCCATCGAGCTCAGTGAGTACGACATCTAGTATGAGCCCCGAACTACCATCAAGGCCCAAGCCTTGGCCGAATTCATCATGGAATGTACCTTCAGCATTGCAATCCCTGAGTTGATCGAGCCCGAGCACGGAGAAGCTTCAACCAGTGCGGCACCACTCTCAGTTGGAACGAACCCGACCTGGGATGAGGAGCCATGGATCCTACATGTGGACGGCTCATCAAATCAGCAAGGTAGCGGAGCTGGGATCATCCTGTATGGGCCAAGCAGAGTGAAACTGGAGCATGCGCTTCGGTTCAAGTTCACTGCGTCCAATAACGAAGCAGAATACGAAGCGTTGATAGCCGGGCTTGCCTTGGCAAGCGAAGTAAGAGCTCAGCAGCTCATCATCTGCAGCGATTCTCAGCTCGTGGTCAACCAGGTCACCGGTGACTATGAAGCCCACAAACCGACCATGATCGTCTACCTAGCCAAAGTCAGAGAACTCTACGCGACTTCCAGTCCTAATTCATCAGGCAGATCTCGAGATCCAAGAACACTGAGGCCGATGCCCTATCCCGGTTAGCCAGCACAAGTGACAACACCATGAGAACCGTGTACATAGAAAACTTGTCTCGGCCTAGCATTCTCGAGGGGGGGTGGGGCAGAAGAGGTCACTCCTGTTGCACAAGCAGAGCCGAGCTGGATTGATCCACTCACAAGCTATCTGCTCCATGGAACCCTCCCTGTAGATCGTAATGCCGCCAGAAGGGTAGAGCGTCAGGCAGCCAAGTACGTCATGATAGACGGACGGCTGTACCAAAGATCCTATCTGCGCTGCTTACGACCTTCCGAGGCCGAGCTCGTACTCCGCGACACTCATGTGGGTTTGTGCGGCGGACACCTGGGAGGCAGGGCTCTCGCCCAAAACGCGCTACGGTAGGGCTACTACTGGCCAACGATGAAGGCAGATGCGATTGAGTTCGTCAAAAGATGTGATAAATGTCAAAGACACGCCAACATCCACCACCAGCCTGCTGCCGACATAAAGTATCTCACCAGCCCATGGCCTTTCTCACAGTGGGGAATCGACATACTTGGACCATTCCCGCCAGCGACAGGACAGAGGAGATTCCTAGTGGTAGCAATGGACTACTTCACAAAGTGGGTGGAGGCCGAACCTCTTGCGACAATCACAGCGCGAACCATACAAAACTTCTTCTGGAGGAATATAGTTTGTCGTTTTGGACTACCTCGAGTACTTATCTTTGACAACGGAAAGCAGTTCGAAGACATAAAGTTCTAGAACTGGTGCAAAGAAATGGGGATACAACAGAATTTCACCTCAGTGGCACACCCTCAAGCCAACGGCCAAGCGGAAGTCACGAACAGGGCCATCCTCTGTGGACTGAAGGCACGCTTAGCCCGAGCTAAAGGATTATGGGTTGACGAGCTACCTAGTGTACTTTGGACTTATCGGACCACTGTGAAGACCACCAGGAGTGAGACTCCTTTTAACCTCGCCTACAGCACGGAGGTGGTGATCCCATCCGAGATCGAGGTGCCTACGCTATGTCTGGAAGCACATGACGAAGAAGCGAATGAGAGCGAGCTACGACCCTCTGATCCAGTCTCATATCGAGCTACGGGAACTCATATCGATGGCACTCATATTGAGCTACGGGAACTCGCGCTTAGTAAGCCACCTACTGAGCTTGAAGCCTTTATGGCAACCCTTCGATCCGGCCTTGATCAGCTCTCCCTCGAACTCCTCTGAGATCTTATAATCCTCGACGGCCTTGACCTTAGCTTCCTCCATGGTCTTGAGAAGAATTTTAGTTCGCTCCTTGACGTCGGCCTCAAGGTTCTCCACCTGGTGCTTCAAATCTTCCTTCTCCGACGTCAGCGACGCGATAAGTTCTTCCTGAGCTCACGCACGGTCCTCCAGTTGACTGATCTTGTCACGAGCTAAACTCAGCTCAGTATGAGCCTCAC